CTGTAACCACAACCATCCAGCTGGACACCTAAAGTTGAAAACCAACAAATGGGGTTTACACACCGGATGACTGTGGAGACATACGTGAATTCACTCACCAGTGAGGCCAGGCTCTGTTTGGGGACTGAAGATTCCACACACACAAAAAAAACAGAGACCAAGTCCCCACCCTCAGGAAGCGGACAGTCGACAGTCGAGCATGGAGAGCGACAGCCAACAGGGAGAAGTTCTCCGAGGGCAATGAAACAGCTTGCAGCTGGGACCCAGAATCATGGGCAAGGGCTCTAAACTGAGTGGTCAGGGAAGGCTTCTCGGAGGTGGCATTTAAAATAGGACTAACCCACAGGAAGTCAGAAGGTGTTTCCCCACTGGTGTAACTCACAACTAACTGCCCTGGGACCTTAGAACTCAATGTCTCCTAAGACTAACAAACCTCCCATCTGTTACAGGAATATCAAGACCACCTTCCCCTTGCTTGCCTTTGCTGATGCAGAACACATACGCTCACGAGGAATCCCATTTTCTTTCCAGAACATTCTGTTTGAAAGTTGCCCTGGAAAAATCTGCCTCCCTTTAACTTCTCCACCTTGATGCCTTTGGGAACCGTGTGGAGCAGTTCTGCCCCAACTTTGGGTCCTTGCACTGGCAGACAGGTAAGAGTTCTGATACCTTACCTCACCCAGCCGACGTCTCTCTCTAAGCACCTGAGCAGGAGTGAGGATGCGCCACCAGATTGCTGTTGGCGCTGCCAGGGAGATACCATCCTGCAGGGTAACAGGCTTACGGGGCCTCCTACCCCTGCAGACCCCTCCCTGGGTTTCGTCCATAAGATCGCCAGCCAGGTATCAGACCCCAGGACCCAGAGTCTTGGCCTTTCCAATGTGGCCCTTCCCGTTGCCCCAGTGCAGTAAGTAGACAGTACCTGTTGGAGGCAGAGGGCTCCTGTGAAGGCCCGGGCTGGCTGGAATCCCAGGAGAACTGCTGGGACGCTCCCAGGTGGTCTCTGGTCAACGAAAGAAACAAAATTGCGTTCAGAATTTCATAGGGTAGAACCTCAGAAGGTCACAGAGCAGAATTAGATGCTCAGAGCTGAAAAAACATAGTCTTAGCCAGTCCCCTTCCTCCCTCACCCCAGGACGCAGGAGACTGTGTTCTGCTCCCACGCCCTTCCCACCTCCCATGATGACAGATCTTCTCTTTGCTAGAGACCCTTCTCCACACAGCTGGAACCAGAGGGAGGTGGCCTTCCGTCTGGGATCCTCTGGAATGGTCCCCCAGTGACCCTCTCTTTCTTACCCCCCTACCGAACCCCGAGGCGGCCAGCTCATGTACCTCCTGGAACCCTTCTGTCTCTAGTCCTGGAACCCTAGCTGACAACTGGGCATTTCTCCTCAAACACCACACTGTCACCTGAAATCCCGAAGCACAGAGGAAGGGGCACTGGCCCGGGGGTCACACAGACATGGTCCTCTTCCGAAGTCCTTTCTGGTTCTACAGTTCTGTGTCTTGTTTGAATTATAACTGTTGTGTCTGACTGGCCACTTCTTCCGATGCCCAGCCATGCAGTCCAGCCAGAAATAAAGCTAATACTGCAGAAATATCATTGTCCCCCAAACACTACTTTACCCATTTCATTGCCGTGAGCAGAAACTACTCATAAAATTATCTAGTGATGAAAATAATAACACTTTCTCAGTATAAACAATTGGATGAAGCACAAAGAAGAGAAAAGTACCACCCATAATCCCACAACTCAGCACTACCAACACTTTGGTGTCTATATATCGATTTGTTTTCTGGTCATATGTACATCTTTAAAACAAAACAAAATCATACTGCACATTCTTTTCACATATCGACTTTTGTGAATAGCTTTCCAAAATCACGAAAGGGACCGAAGAGTGGAGGTTAGAGTCTGTTAACAGCGGTGAGTCTAGAGGCAGGCTACCTGCGTTGGAATTCCCGCTCTGCCTCTTACCACCAGTGTAACCTTGGCCAAGCTAACAGTCCTCTTGGTGCTTCAGCTGCCTCCTCTGTAAATGAGATCAATAATGGTATCCACCCAAGGCAGTCGCGGTATTCGGGCAAAATGCACATATACAAGCTCTTAGCATGAAGTTATTTTTAAAGTTAGCTGAATGTATGAGTGTAATATTAATCAAAAAATTCTATTACTGAAAATTCAATTGTCTTAAATATTAAAAATAAAAACAAGCAAAACCCTCTCAATGGCTTCTCTCAGTTAGGATGCAAGAGAACTGGGTTTTTGCCTCACCTCTACCTCTAAGCTGCTGGGCAGCCCAGGGCAAGTCACTCTACCTCTCTGGTCTTCAAGTCTTCATCCAAAAGGAAGGGGTTGGGCTAACTGGTCTTCAAGGCCCTAGTACTCCTGCCCTCCAACTTTGATCAGTGGTCTTAAAAGCTTAAGACCCATTGTTAGGTTTTAAGGAGCTTATGGCTCCAGGAATTGGGTGGTAATATGGTCCCTTCACGTCTTAAGGGAGAGAAAACAGTGAATAGCAAGTGAGGGAAGTGGAAGGCGGGATGTGACCAGGAACAAGAGAGCAGGGGGGTCTTTCATGAGGAGTGGGCGAAGAGCAGGCTCAGTGGCCTCCCTGAGGGAGGCGGGACGTGGCTGGCTGGCACTCAGGCACCAAGACTTAGAGAACCCACCATGAAGACCACTCCTTCTCAGAGGCCAAGGGCGGTGGAAAGCATTCCAGGCCTGCTGCTCACAAGCTGACCTTTGGAAGTAGCTGGCCCTGTATTTTGGTTTTCTTTTAATTCTAAAATGGGGATAAAAATGGTACTTAAATAGCGTTATAAGAGCATGAAATGGGTTAACATGTGTAAAGTGTTTTAGGA